GGGGGGAGGTCACAACCCCCGGGGCCCCCCTGGGACCCGGACCCCACCTCGGGTCTCCGCCTGGAGGGTCCCTCGCCGGACCCCCCCCTGTCTTGAGCTCCCCTGCCCACAGGGAGACCCACCCACTTTTGCCCCCCTTCTTCTCCGGAGGGGGTCACGACCCTGGGGACCCCCCGCCCTTAACCCCCCCCCTACTGGGCAGGGAAGGGATCAAAGGGAAGGGCTTCCCTTCAAATCGATTACGACGTTGTTTGCTTTCCGTTTGGCTGGATCGCTTGAGTGGGAGGGCCCAGGGTGAAGGGGGGAGCGGCGACGGCGACGGCGACGACGACCCAAACGAAAACACGTCTAACACACGCCGTCAGGGACAGCAAACGGGGTAACAGGAAACGGCCAGATCGAGACAACAAACGCACATGTTGTTGCAGTGCAGTTTTGTTCGGCTTCCGCGTTCAACGCAGCACCCAGTTGTTTGCGTTGGAAATATTCGGCTGCTGCACTGCAACTTTTTGTTTTGGGCCTTGTGTTCCTCGTCTGTGGTGCTTGTTCGCGGTTATTCCGCAACCAGTTGCAGAACAAATGCAGTGCAGCTTTTTCGCGTTGCAGAACATTGCCGTGCAGTCTTTTTCCCGGCCGTTGCAGTCTCTTCGTTTGGACCCCATGGTGGGTCGGTTATCCCGTTTTGGTGTTATTTGGTTTAGTCTTCCCTGGCGCCGACAGGGCCGGTGGATTTTCAGTAATTTTCAGATTGGTGATCACATTCCAGTGTGTATTGGTGGTTGTCGTCGAAGCAGTGTTTGTTTTTACTCGTTTACGTTCTTGTTTATTGTATTCTGCCGCGAGGCGAAGGTGTAATTTTCGTATTCTTTCGTTGGCGGTGTCGTCGACGGGGTGAACAGGGCAATGGAAGGGGGGGAAGAGGAGGTCTGAGGCGGCTGATGATGAGGGGAGGAGGAGGATCGAGGTTTCCGTGCGTTCTGGTGTGTTCAGTTGGCCTCTTCAGGCCCTCAGAGGCATCCAGGCACCTCTAGGAAGGGGAGGGAGCATGATTACACCTTTGCGGCAGAAGATATAAACAGTTTCACACTGTGGCGGAAAGAGGGGCATAAACGGAAACATCTAGAGTGATCATGCAGACAACGGGAAATATCGGCAATAATGGGAGATAACGGGAGCTAGCGGGAGTCAATATGAGGCAGTGGGAGACAACGAGAGACAACAGGAGAACACGGGAGACAGTGGGAGACAACAGGCGACAGCGTGAGACAATTGGAGACAATGGCGCTACGGTTGCCCTATGTGTCTTCGAAACATTGTTTAGGACCCTTACACAAGCTGTTTAGGACAAAAACTGAAGTGGAGGCCGAGGGGGAGGATCGAGGTTTTCGTGTCTTTGGGTTTCAGATGTTAGCCTCCAGGGGCATCTGGAGGTCCCAGAAGGCCTCTGGGGGGGAGCACCGCTGCCATAATCGGCATGTCTCGTCGCGCCGATGGCAGCGCGGTCACGACGGTGGACTGGAGGCCAAACCGCTCGGCCGATGCCATGGCCAAGGCGGCTGTCGGTTGCCTGCTGCCGCGCGTCGCAGCCCAGCGCCTCCTCAAGACCGCGGAGAAGCTTGGAGCGCACGAGGCCGCGGTCTTCGGGTCCACGACTGACGCGGCGAACAACCACGTGAAGGTAAAACTCGGCCCGGGCGGCCGCCCGCGGCGCGTGCTTGAGTGTGACGCCGCCCCCGCGCGGCGGCCGAGGGCGCAGGCTCGCGGGCAGAGCGCGTGCCGCCGCGGTGCTCGCTGCCTCGGCGGCTCGGGCCGCGGCGGGCGCGGCCGCCACGAAGGGGTCGTTCGTGCGGCTCGTGCGGCCGCGATGCGGCCTTCCTCCGCGCCGCCGGCTGCCGAGCGGATGGCTGTTCTGAGGGCGCGCGTGCGGGCCAGGCTGGGCGCCCCGCCGCAGCCCGTCCGGCTGCGACTCACTTGGTGCCGCGGGCCCTCGTGGGCGCGCGCGCCCCCCCCGCGCGCTGAAGCTCCGAGCGCCTCTCTCAGATCAAGAGGAAGAGTGAGGAGTGGCGCGGCGCATTGCCGATGCATCGGTGCTGTGGCGCGATCCCTAGCCTGCTCATCTCCATCCCGTCGTCGCCGATGCATCGCTGGTGCGTCGCTGGTGCGGCCAGACCCTCAGACCCCATCATGGCCCAAACCACATTTAAAACATCTCCAAACGAGGAGGAGGAAGAGGAGGGGGAGGAAACCCAATATTCACCATCGATGTTGGAGCACACCCTTCCTTCAAGCTTCCTCTTCATAGGCCCCTGCAAGGGTTCATTTCCACTGATGGAGTTGCCTCGCTCGGGGACAACTGTGCGGAAATCCTGAAGCGCACCGAAGCACCATTTTCAGCATTTCAGCGCCACGAGTTAACCTGACTGTTGCGTCTCGGCGATCTTGAATCGTGCCAGAACGCGAATCCTGGGACTGCAGCGTCGCGAATCAACGTAAGTGGTGCGCCCTGACCATCATGAGTCGCTTCAAAAACAGCATTTCTGGTACGGTGGCCATGCAATCAGTGAAGCCGTTGCTGTTTATGGCAACGAGCGCGCGCGGCGCTCGGGCCAGAGCCACATTTTGAACATGAGCCGTCCTCAATTCGAGAAGCTCATGCGAACTTGCAGAAAGAATGTGTGCGGCGCTAAGGCGAAATCCACATCATTTAAAACGGCCTGCTCTCGATCCATGACATTTGCACTTGTTCAACGAATGCGCGCGGCCCTAAGGCGAGAACCACATTTTGAAAACGATCTGCCCTCAATCCGTGTAGTTTCCACATTGTTGGTTACAGCACACACACGCCTTCAATCCGTGTTTCTTTCTCCATTTGTTTGAGACGAGTCTGCGCGGCCCTAAGGCGAGAGCCATATTTGTGAAACGACCAGCTCTAAATCAGTGAAGCTGCCATCAACTTGTAACCTTCAGGGTCACAATGGTGCGGAAGTCTCAGGCCCAACGCCTTGCCCGCCCGTTCGGTTGGCCTCGCGGCGCGACAGGGAGAGGTTATCGGTAAGGAAAATAACCGAGGAGAGGGAGCAGGAGGAGGAGCAGGAGGAGGAGGAGGAGGCGGAAGAGGATAATGAGGAGGAAGAGGAGGAGGAGGGGGAGGAGAACGGGAGAACAGGAGGAAGAAGACTCCTGGCAGGCAGGTCGGGCACAGACACAGAAGGACAATGAGGAGCAGGAGGAGGAGGAGGAGGGAGAGCATGAGGAGGAGGAGGAGGAGGAGGAGGAGGAACGAGGAGGAAAAAGAGAAGGGAGAAGGGGGGGTATCGGAGTTGGACGGGTAGGGGGAGGGAGGAGGAGGACGGGCCGGTGAGAGGGGGCGCGGCCGTGGCCAAGACACAAAGTGGACCTCAAGACTGAGAGTTCTGTCTCCCCCTGTGGCGACTGCGCCGGGGAAGCACGAGTCTGGAGTGTTTGATATGGATAAGGGGGTGGAGAGGAGGAGGAGGAGTTGGAGGAGTAGTAGTAGTAGCAGGAGGAGGAGGAGGAAGAAGAGGATGAGGAGGAGGACCAGCGTAAATCCAAGAGTCATCAATGATGTTGGAATTCGCCCTCCCTCCAAGCTCCCTCTTCATAGGCCCCTACAACGGTTAATTTCCATTGAGGGAACTGCGTCGTTGGAAGGCAATCGTTTGAAGACCCTGAAGCATGCCAATACATGGTTCTCGGGATTTTAACGCCACGGGTCAACCTGACTTTGCGTCTTGACGATCCAGAATCGTGCCAAAAGGCCATTTACACCGCGAACCAACATAATTGTTTGCACCCGCCGAATCCCTAATCATTCCAAAACACTATTCTGGTACGTTGATCATGTGAGTCCGTGGAACTTTTCCAATCTTTGAAGCGAATGTGCGCGGCGCTAAAGTGAGAGCCACATTCTGAAACATATTCGACCCCAATCCGTGAAACTCTTGCAACTTTCAGAATCGAATGTGCGCGGCGCTATGGCGAGAGCCACATTTAAAAAACCACCGGCCCTCAATCCGTGAAGCCGTTTGCACAGGTTCAAGCCGTGAAGTTCTTGCAAGTTTTGTTTAACGAATGTGCACGGCGCTAAACCGAGAGCCACATGTTGAACACGACCCGCCCTCAATACGTGAGACTGTTGCAAAGTTTTGAAACGAATGTACGCATCGCTAAGGCGAGAGCCACATTTTGAAAACCACCCACCCTCAATCCGTGACGCTCTTGGCAATGTTTCAACGAATGTCCGCAGCGCTAAGCGAGAGCAACATTTTGAAAACCACCCGCCCTCAATCCGTGAAGTTCTTGCACATGTTTGAAGCGAGTGCGCGCGGCGCTAAGGCGAGAGCCACATTATGAAAACCAGCCGCCCTCAATCCGTGAAATTGTCGCCACTTTAAGCTTCAGAGTTAAAGTGGTGAGGCAGACTCAGGCGAAACGCCCGGCCCGCCCTAAAAACTGGCTTCGGGGTGCGACAGGGAGATGTTGGTTCGAAGGCATTACGGCAGGTGCCGCCGACCCTGAAGACGACGAAGATCAAAAGGAGTGAGGGGGTGCAGGGGGAGGAGGAGGAGGAGGAGTGGAAGGGGAGGAGGAGGAAGGGGTGCAGGAGGTGGATGAGGGAGTAAGAGGGGGGAGGGCAGGAGAAGGAGGAGGAGGGTGCGACAGGGAAACAATTATCTATAAGGGAAAGGAATGGGAGACGATGAGGAGAAGGAGGAGGAGGAGGAGGACCACTCCTTGCAGGAAAGAATAATGGAAAAGGAGGAGGAGTAGGAGTTCAGAGCCGTGACGGGGCCGAAGTGGGCCAGAACAGGCGTCGGAGGAGGAGTCGGAGGAGGAGGAGGAGAAGGAGGAGGAAGAGGACGAGGACGAGGAGGAGGAGGAGGAGGAGGAGGAGGAGGAGGAGGAGGAGGGGGGAGCAGATCAATGCTGAGGGCCCGAGGTCCTCTGTGGAGGAGGAGCCCTGCGCCCTCCGCTCCGAGGCCGCCAGCTCCGCGGGCGAGTCCCCGTCCAGGGAGCGAGGGCTCTCGGACGAGGAGGAGCGCGCGTTGGGGGGCGGTGGCTCCGTCTCAGGGGCAGCGTTGAGGTCGTCGTCGGCGGCGGCGTCAGCGGAGGCGGCAGCGGCAGCGGTGGACTCGGCCTCTCAGGGGCAATGTTTGGGGGGTTGGTTCTCGTCGGTTCGCGGTTCTCTGGCTTCGGGATGCGTATTAGCGGCTGTGCCTCGCCGAGAGCGTTGGATCGTCCCGAACGGCGCAGGAGGGCTGAGTCATCGATTTGTGGGCCTAGAACCACGAGGGAACGGTGCGGGGGATAGGCTCAGGGGGGACGCATCGACTTCCAATCGCCCATTCGTCGCCGATGGGGCCTTGATGGTCCACACCACTCAGGGGCATGCGGATTCGCCATTGGGGGCCTATCGCCGATCTATTGCCGATTCCAGCTCTGTGTTTCCTCCCCCAGGCCCAGCCCCCATGACGTTCCTCTCATCGTCCTCCCGGGCATCCCATCCAACCTCCCTCGTCGTCGGTTTCGTCTTCCCCGTCGTCTGGCTGCGCTTCATTATCCTCATCGTTCTTGATCGCCTTTTCATAAATGTATCGTCCTTGTTTGTTTGTTTGTTTCCAAAGCTGTACGATCTTACATCATCACCCTCACTACCATCACGACCACCATCATCATCATCAGCATCATCATCAAAAAAAAGCGGGCACTGGCGCTCCTCCTCGGCTGGAGACTCCAAAGGCATCTTGCTTTCGGACAGTAACAGGGGGAGGGAACGAGAGAGCGAGGGCTCGGACAAGGACAAGCGCGCTCCCGTCTTCCTCATGTTGCTGATTGCCCTCCTACCTCTTACCTCATTTTCATTTCCGCTTTCGTTTTTCGGGATTCGTGCGTCGTTTGGCCTTCGGGCAGCGCCCTCCAGATCGTCCTCGCTCCCATTGGTGGATTTGGCTTTGATTCTGAATTCTGGATCCTTGTCAGAATCGGGAACATGTACATCTGCGACCGCTTGCGAGCCCTACCCATACGAGTCCACTCGACGCTGAGGTATCGGACAACCCCGCTGGGGTCCACCCGGCTGCATACATCCCTCGAATCCCGAACCCCGATTTTGTCTTTCAGAAATCTGATTTGCAGGGAAACGGTTCACACGTGGTTGCCCAGTACGGGGAGCGATTTTGAGGGCCAGGATAGAACTCAGGGCGTCGGGAGCATTCCGTAGTGCATGTTCTGTTGTTCGCATTTTTGTGATGTTGGACCCTGTTATGAAAGGCAGCGGCCTCCGGCGAAACAAATGTCCCAAATACGAGGTTCAGGCTCAGCTCCCCGGGATCCGCGCGGAGGAGACAAGACGACGTCGGAGTCTCAGGTACACCGCACTCACATCTATACCCCTGGGTGGGTGTATGGGCGGCCGTTTTTGCGCTGTCATGTGCGCGCATGTGCGCGGCATGTGCCAGTCATGTGCCAGGCCTGTGCGGTCCTTCTTGGATGAACTTCCTACTGTGCACGTCGTGCCCGGACATGTGCGGGGGCATGTGCGCTGTGTTTTGATGTATCCATCATACGCACATGCACGCACAGTCCGACGCACATGCGCGCACATGCCTGCACATGCGGGAGGTGTTCGAGAATCGCAGATCTGTCATCGGCACATGCACGCACATGCCTGCGCAACCTCTCTTCGGGAGGCCGCGCGGGCCCGCACATGCACGCACATGCGGTGAAGCGCGCGGGCGCACATGCGTGCACATCCCAATGCACATGCACGCTCATGCCCTAGGAGCTGTCTGGGACCCCTGTGCCTCCAATGCCTCCTGGCCTTCGCAGAGCTAACCTGGGGCGTGCCAGGGCTTCCTGAAAGAGTTTGTTGTGCGTTTAGACTCGCCCGCTGCTGGCGGGGGCGGTTCTTCGCCCGGTTCGTGAGCTGGCGGTGGCGCGCCCGCCTAATAAAATACTCTCCCGCGCGCCTTCTCAGCTCGGCCGGAGAAGCAGGGATGGGGGGGGGGAGGTGGAGGGGGGGGGAGGAGGGGGGGGCGGAGGAGGCGGGCGCCCCCGGCTCGGCCGGCCCGCCTGCCTGTTCGGCTCGGCCAGAGGAGAAGGAGGAGGAGGAGGAGGAGGAGGAGGAGGAGGAGGAGGAGGAGGAGGAGGAGGAGGTGAGAGTTGCGAGGATGTCTCAGGCGAAAGTGGCTTGACGGCCCGAGCTCAGGGAATCTCGGAATCGCTGGCCTGGCTCGGCCACTGGCGAGCTCGGCCTGTGCGAATACTGCGCGTACCTGTGCAGTGCATGTGCGGGACGTGCAAGAATGCCGGGGCCGGCGTTCGTCTCCGGACGCCGGCGCGTTCGCGTCCGGCCAGTTCCGCGTGAGACGTCGTCGGCAATTTGGAGGCCGACGTGCTTTGACATGAAGTGATCTGGCCACCTTCGCCTGAGACATCCTCGCAACTCTGGTCTCGGAGATGCCCTGCCCCATGGTGGCCCGGCCACTTTCGCTTGAGACATCCTCGGGACTCTGGGTTTCGAGACGCCCTGAGCTGAGGTGGTTAGACCACTTTCGCCTGAGACATCCTCGCAACTCTGACCTCAGAGATCTCCTGCCCCATGCTGGTCAGGCCACGGTCGCCTGAGACATCCTCGCAAGTCTCGATTCCGATATGCCCCGAGCTGAGGTGGTCAGCCACTGTCGCCTGAGACATCCTCGCAACCCTGATCTCAATGATGCCCTGCTCGATAGTGTCTCGGCCCCTTTCGCCTGAGACATCCTCGGAACTCTGGGTTCCGAGACGCCCTGAGCTGAGGTGGTTAGACCACTTTCGCTTTAGACATCCTCGCCCGAGATGCCCTGAGTTGAGCTGTTCAGGCCACTTTTGCCTGAGACATCCTCGCAACTCTGACCTCAATGATGCCCTGCTCCATAGTGTCTCGGCCTTTTTCGCCTGAGACCCTCGCAACTCTGGGTTCTGAGATGCCCTGAGCAGGTGGTCAGGCCAGTCCTGCCTGAGACATCCTCGCAACTCTGGGCTCCGAGATGCCCTGGGCTGAGGTGGTCAGACCACTCTCCCCAGAGACATCCTCGCAACTCTGACCTCAGAGATCTCTTGCCCCATGGTGGTCAGGCCACTTTCGCTTGAGACATCCTCACAACTCAGACCTCGGAGGTGTCCTGCCCCATGGTCGTCTGGTCACCTTGACCAGCGACATCCTCGCCACTCTGGTTTCCAAGATGCCCTGCCCCATGGTGATCCGGCCACGCTTGCCTGAGACATCCTCGGAACTCTGGGTTGCGAAATGCCCCGAGCTCAGGTGGTCAGGCCACTATCGCCTGCGACATCTCTGCGGCATGTGCGGGCATGTGCGTCTATGCTTTCAGAGTTTTGCTTGACCGTGCATTCGACTGTGCGTCGGACGGTGTGGCATGTGCGCGCATGTGCGGCAATGCTGTTGAGGCTTTTGTATATTTGCATGGGCATGTGCATGCGACTGTGCGGCATGTGCCTGCATGTGCGGCCCCTTCCGGACCACAATTTCAAAGTGAGCACTATAGAAGTGAGCGCTATAGAAGTGAGTCCGGTGTAGCCCTCGTCCTCTTGCTGATCATCCTCCTGCCCCCTCCTCGGTTGGCTGGTTCTCTCGGTGAGGCGGAGCGGAGAGAGTAGAGACGAGGATATGGTTTGCAGTGCCGCTTGGAAGACAGGAAGGGAGGAGTGAAGGAGGGACGGAGTGAGCTGGCGACGACGACAGCGTCACCACGTCGACTTCAACGCCGCCGCCGGCGATGGCGGCGGCAGCGGCGACATCGACCCTGAGATCCGACGTTGAGAATCACGACTGGAGCTCGACATCCCAATATTTCTGCTGCATTCGCAGCGCTGGAACGATTTGCGCCAGCAAAATGCAGCGCCGGGATCTCGGGGGACGACGAGGCCGAGGCAGACGAGCCGCAGTCTGGCGAGCTGTGGTCATTACCCCCTCCTGGAGAGACCTTGCGGCTTCGACGCTACTCGAGAGAGATCTCTGGCACGATGGGCTCCCCACGGGGGCGGCTGCGGTCAGGGAAGTTTGCTCAGCGAGCCGCCCCCGTGGCTCTGGCCCGCCACGCTCCGGCGCGGCACACTGACCACGTGCCAGTCCCCAGGCATCACCGTCCCGAATGTCCCAGCCCCCCCGCCTCACAGTGGGAGTGGCACGCCATCGGCCAGCAAGGCATGGCGTGTCGCAGGGGCCGTCGACGCGACACGCTGAGCAAAAGATCTGGACCGTAAGGCGGGGACAACGCTGGGAGGGCATAGGCTCGGGAGATGATGCATCGACCCCCAATCGCTCATCGATCGCCGATAGGGTCCCGATAGCCCACTTCGCTCAGTGTGCGGATTCGCTGTCGGGGGCCCATTGCCGATCCATCGGCGATGTATCGCCGATTTCAGGTCAAAAGTTTCTCCCCCCCTCCGCCTGAGCCAGTAGTCCCCCCCATGTCGTGCCCCCTCGTGTCAGGAGCTGAAGCCGGCGCCGACGTCGCCACCATGGATTCTCTCGCCGAAGCACCTCGTTAAGGCAGAATCTTGTAGCAGGTGCAGGGCGGCGCGTCGGCAGAGGGCAGACAGGGAGCAGGGGACCGAGCGCTTGAGGTTCCCCTCCCCCCCGACGAGCCGGCCCTCCGCCCCAGAAAGATGGTGAAGTAGGCTTGAGAAAGGCAAGCTCGGGAAACTCTGACGGAGGCTTCTGGCGATAGTGACGTGCAAATCGCTCGCCATAACTTGGGTATACGCCTAACGTCCCCCCCAGCTGCGGCCGGCCAGCGAGGCCAAGGCCGCCGCCGCCGCGGCGCGGCGCGGCGGGCGGCCACGGCGGCGGGCGGGGGTTGCGCCCGTGGCCAGGATGCTCAGCGCCGCGCGCGGGGCGCGGAGATCTCGGCCGCGCCCGAGCCGGAGCCCCCCTCACGGCGCGGGGATGGAAGTGGAACTCCAGGGGAGGGGATCGGTGAGCGAAGAGTTGTGAGAACGTGCGCTTTCGGAGGTCCGCGCGGATTGCTTGGATCCGCGCTGGAGTCCCTTGGCGGCGCCGCCCCTGGCGCGCTCCGCGCGCCAGGGAAGGGGGTCCAGCGCAGATCCAGCAAATTCGCGGGGACCTGCGAAAAGTTGAGTGTTTGTTCTGCAATCCCCCAAACAACGCTTGCACTTAGGGGTATTTTAGTTCTTGCTGAGGAACTGGGCCTGTCTGGCGGTCTGGCGGCTATGTAGCCGCCGTCAACGCCCCGTCGCCGCCCGTCGTCAGGGCCTGTCTAGCACTCTGACCGCCATGCCGCCGCCGTCGCCGCCCCGTCGCCGCCTGGTTGCGCCCCGTCGCCGCCCCGTCGTCGCCTTGATCGTCCGGGCCTGTCTTGCGTGCTGGCCGCCATGTCGCCGCCCCGTGGCCGCCTAGACTTTCTTTTGCTCAGAGAACTTAGATTCTACCCCCATCACTCGCCAGGGGTTATCCGTTACGCGCTTCGATTGGAAATTCATATGTGATCGTAACCCTTCGCTCATTTTCCCGATGAACTCATACCATCCCAAGCCAGCCGGTATCGACGCCCCCCCGCCATACTTTGCAACGAAAGCGCTATGTGCGCGCACTCCTCTTTATCAACAATCTCAAGTTTTCAAAAACCTGTTGCAATTTACCTAACAGCGAAGACTGATGGGTTTCTAATGGTCTCAAAAGAAAGCATCTTGACTCCTCAGGGGGGTCTGGGCAGATGCCGGACGGGTGCCAGGGAGAATCCGCGGAAGTCGTTTTAAGCAAACAGTTACACATTTCGTGGTCTTCGAGTTCCCAGAATTCCATTCCCGGGCCACATTCTGAATGCCCCAAGCCAACTGTAGGCCACTGTGTGCTCTTCGAGTTCCCAGAACTCCATTCCCGGGCCACATTCTGAATGCCCGGAGCCAACTGTAGGCCACTTCGTGCTCTTCGAGTTCCCAGAACTCCATTACCGGGCCACATTTTGAATGCCCGGAGCCAACTGTAGGCCACTTCGTGGTCCTCGAGTTCCCAGACCTCCATTCCTGGGCATGATTTTGAATGCCTGGAGCCAACTGTAGGCCACTTCGTGGTCTTCGAGTTCCCAGAACTCCATTCCTGGGCATGATTTTGAATGGCCAGAGCCAACTGTTCGCCACTTCGTGGTCTTCGAGTTCCCAGAATTCCATTCCTCGGCATGATTTTGAATGCCCGGAGCCAAATGCAGGCCACTTCGTGTTCTTCGAGTTCCCAGAACTCCATTCCCGGGCCACATTTTGAATGCTGAGGCAGGCTGAGGCTGAGGCTGAGGCAGGCTGAGGCTGAGGCAGGTTGAGACTGAGGCCGAGGCTGAAGGCAGACTGAGGCTGAGGCTGAAGCAGGCTGAGGCTCAGGCTGAGGCTGAAGCAGGCTGATGCTGAGGCAGACTGAGGCTGAGGCTCAGGCTGATGCAGGCTGAGGCTGAGGCAGGCTGAGGCTGAGGCTGAGGCTGAAGGCAGACTGAGGCTGAGGCTGAAGCAGGCTGAGGCTGAGGCAGGCAGGCTGAGGCTGAGGCTGAGGCAGGCTGAGGCTGAGGCTGAGGCAGGCAGGCTGAGGCAGAGGCTGAGGCAGGCTGAGGCTGAGGCTGAGGCTGAGGCTGAGGCAGGGTGAGGCTGAGGCAGGCAGGCTGAGGCTGAGGCTGAGGCTGAAGCAGGCTGAGGCTGAGGCTGAGGCTGAAGGCAGACTGAGGCTGAGGCTGAGGCTGAGGCTGAGGCAGGCTGAGGCAGGCTGAGGCTGAGGCAGGCTGAGGCAGGCTGAGGCTGAGGCTGAGGCAGGCTGAGGCTGAGGCAGGCTGAGGCGGAGGCTGAAGGCAGACTGAGGCTGAGGCTGAAGCAGGCTGAGGCTGAGGCTGAGGCTGAGGCTGAGGCAGAGGCTGAGGCAGGCTGATGTTGAGGCAGGCTGACGCTGAGGCTGAGGCTGATGCAGGCTGAGGCTGAGGCGGGCTGAGGCTGAGGCTGAGGCAGGCTGAGACTGAGGCTGGCTGAGGCTGAGGCTGAGGCAGGGTGAGGCTGAGGCAGGCTGAGGCCGAGGCTGAAGGCAGACTGAGGCTGAGGCTGAAGCAGGCTGAGGCTGAGGCTGAGGCAGGCTGAGGCTGAGGCTAAGGCAGGCTGAGGCTGAGGCAGGCTGAGGCTGGTGCTGTGACTGCGACTGCCGTTGCCACTGCGACTGTCATCGCGAATGCGACTGCGACTGCGAGAACAGCAGAATTCTACAACTGGATTATCATCTGAATCTTAAGGGGAATGCTTCCAGATATGCTTCTACACATCGCTGTTAGGTTGCTTTGCCGGGATAATTCAAAAACCTGTTCGGAATCGTTCGAACGACCTTGCGCGCGTGCCGTCGCGAGAATCCTTTGCAACAGCTGAGACGAAGTGCACGCGCGCGTCGTCGCGTGCGCACGCCGAAATCCTTGAAACACAGTCGGTTTCGAAAGGATTTCGAAATCGACTGTCCAAACCACATATAAAACACATGATGTTGCAACACGTTTGGTTTTGGCGCCCTGCGAATTCTTCATAAAAACCACAGTGTTATTTTTGCAACATTCCAGAATATACTACCAAACGGGCTGCGCGCGCGCATGTCGGAGTCGGTCGAACGACCTTGCGCGCGTGCTGTCGCGAGAATCCTCTGCAACAAATGAGACGAAATGCACGCGAGCGTCGTCGCGCGCGCATGCCGAAATCCTTCACAAACCAGTGGTTTCGGAAGGGTTTCAAAGTTGAGTGTCCACACGACATACACAACATAAGGGTTCGCAGCACGGGTGTTTAACAACAGCGTGCGCGCGTTCTTGCGAATTCTTAAGACAACCGTGCGTTTTTCCTTCCCGGATGTTCACAACATGCTACCAAACGGGGTTCGCGCGTGCATGTGAAAATCGTTCGAACGCCCTTTGCGCGCGTGCTGGGGTGGCACGATCCGTGTCAAATCATACCATGCGAGCCACTTCCGCGCGTTTGCCGCGCGCATTGCGAATTCCTCCAACACCTTCATCACCGACGCGAAGACGCCGTCGTCATCGTCGTCGGCGTGATCGGCATTGGCGCCTTCGATGGCTGTGCCGTCTTCGTCGCTGTCAGCATCGTCACCAACACCGCTATTATCATCATCGTGTCTACACGTAGTCGACGTCGCCATGATACCGCACCCGCCCAAGTCGCCGACTCGCAGTCCAGTGCCCGCTGGGATGTGCCGAACGGTCAGACCCACCGCGGCCGCGTCGGTCGCGCCAAACCACCTGGCCGCTGCGCGCACGCATGCGCGGGCTGGCGCGACCGCAAGGATGCACCAGCCAGCGCCAGCGCCAAGCACTCATCTCAATCGCCGCCGCATGAGGTTTGCAAACCAACTTGCGGGCGGCTGGGTGGGATTGTTGCGCGGCGCTGGATTTCCACAGTCCATTGCGAACAGTAGAATCCATTACACCACGCAGATTGCAAAACATAAGTTGCACCACCCAGGTTGCACCACGTCGATTCTCTTTTCTGAGGTAAGAGCACACTCTACCCCCCTGGAATTGTCCATCCCCTTTTTGCGTATGGTAATGTACATATGATTCTGCCCCATCGTTCACCCGACCTGTGAATTCATACTACCCAGCCAGGCCGGTATCGACCCCCCCCGCCATCTTATAAACCAAATTCTATGCGCGCACGCTGGTTTATCAAAAGTCACAAGTTTCCCAGATTTCCCTTGCAACCTATAGGGCGAAGTGCACACGCGCGCGTCGTCGCGCGCGCGCATGCCGACATCCTTCAAAATTTTTCGGGTTCGGAAGGGTTCCAAAATCGGGTGCCCCAAAAACATGAAACACACAGGGTTTCGCATCACGGATTTCCTTGAAAGGCTTACACGCGCGCCCCTGCGAAATCGTGAGAAACTATGTTTTTGTTCAACATGTTCAACAAATTATACGAAAATGGCTTCGCGCGCGCATGTCGAAATCTTTTGATCGCCCTTGCGCGCGAGCCGTCGCGAGAACCACTTGCAAAAATGAAGCGAAGTGCAGACGCGCGCGTCGTCGCGCGCGCATGCCGGAATCCTTCAAAAGCTTCAGTTCCGGAAGGATTCAGAAAAAAATACCCAATCAACATACAGCTACAGGGTTTCGCAACACGGAGTTGTAACAAAACCGTGCGCGCGCGCTCTTGCATCGTCGTCGTCGTCGTCGCAAACTTCCTCCTCCCTCGTCGTCGTCGTCGTCGCCGTCGTCGTCCTTTGTCTTTCCTCGTCGTCGTCGTCGTCCTCTTTGGCGTCGTCGTCGTTTCGGTCGTCGTTGTCGCCGTGGTCGTCCGTCCTCCTCCCTGGTCGTCGTCGTCGTCCGTCGTCGGCGTCTCGTCGTCGTCCCTCCTATTTCGTCGCCGTCGTCGTCGTCGTCATCGTCTTCCCTCCTCCCAGGTCGTTGTCGTCGTCGGCGTCGCCGTCCTCCCTCCTCTTCGTCGTTCGCGTCGTCGTCGCCGTCGTCGTCGTCGGCGTCCTCGCCGTCGTCGTCGTCGTCGGCGTCGTCATCGTCGGCGTCGGCGTCGGCGTCGTCGTCGTTGGTGTCGCCGTCGTCGTCGTCGTCGTCGTCGTCGTCGTCGTCGTCGTCGTCGTCGTCGTTTTCGTCGTTGTCGTCATCGTCGAAATCGACGGATACGTCGTCGGTGACGTCGTAGTCGTCGTCGGCGTAGTCGTCGTGGTCGTTGTCGCTGTCGTCGTCGGCGGCGTCGCTGTCGCTGCCAAATGCAATTTGGTACCCACCGTCACGGTCTTAAGAAGTCTTGCGGCCAAATTGCGGGTGGGAGGGTGAGACGTTTGCACGAGCAGCGGAGAGGACAGTTTCAAGACAGTCAAAGTGAATTGCACCACGTGGATTGTGCATTGCATGTTAGTGCGGAGTATGCTTGCAGACGGGCACGGGATTGAGGGGCCCAGCTGGTCTTTGTCACGCTCCCTTGTATTCCATTATATATTTGCTCAAGCTTTCACGGGCTCGCTCGCACGCGCCCCCTTCGCGAGGTTCCTCGCCGCCGCGGCGGCTGGGCTTCCCATCGGCAGCGGCGCCGGTTCCTGGCGCGTCGGCGGCCCTGCGGCTCGCGGCTGGGCTGGCCGCCGGACATGTCGGGTGGTGGCGCGCCCGGCTCCAGCAGCGGCCTGGGCCCGGCCGTGGAGGACGTGATCCTCCTCGAGCAGCTCGAGGAGCACGGCGACGTGGCCGAGTCGGACTTCGAGCTGGAACTCCTCAGGCACCAGCTCGATTTGCGGGCGCAGGCCGGAGCCACGGTGGAGTGGGTGACGCCTGCGGTCGAGGAGGCCGGCGGCGGCGCCTACATCGACGCTGGCGGGCGGTGGCGCCGCACCTCCGTTGGGAGGGCGCCTCCCAGGGGCCGGCGACGCGCGCCCGGTGGGAGCTCCTGAGGCGGGCCGGCCATCCTCCTCGCGGCCTTCGATTCGCGAGGAGCCGCTGACCATCGTCGTCCGGTCGTTCTTGGACGTGGCGGTGCGGCGCCAGTGGATCTCCGCGGACCTGGGCGAGGACGTGGCATCGTTCCGCATGCGGGTCGGGCGCCCCACCTGTACGCCGAGGGAGAACATTGTGCTGATGGTTCACAACCGGCTGATGCTGGACGGGAATCCTCTCAGGACCTACGGCGTCGGGGCCGAGTCCGAGGTCTTCGCGACCCGCAAGGTCCGCGGAGGCGCCGAGTCAGGCGATTCAAGCGTAGGGCCTGACTCCCCTCTGGGCTGGGTGTGTGGCCAGTGCCGCTCGTGGAACAGGTGCGGGCTTGAGTGCCACCTGTGCGGGACGGCCAACCCCGACATGGACCTGGACAGCAGCGAAAGCGACGAGGCGTCCGACATCGTGGCGGAGATCGATGCCGCGGGTGGCGCCGACGAGGAGCTGATCGACCCGCCGTCCGTGGAGGCCGCGCCCGGGCCCTTCTTCGTGGGCGTCCTCGATCAGAACGGGACGTTCTGGACGGAGCCGCTGGGCGGAGGCGCCGGTGGTGGAGGCGGGGAGGTCCGCGTGGGGACTGGCGCCGTGCTGCCAGAGATCCTGTCACAGGAGGCGACTCCCATCAACGGGCACTACACCTCGGCTGCTCTGTCCCTCGCTGAGAGGGCCGCCGCGGACGACGCCCTGATCGACGATGACGAAGACGATCCCACCCAGTCCAGCGGCGGCGACAGCCGCGGTGAGGGCAGCCCGCCGCCGGCCGCCAGTGGTGGCCCTGCCAGCCCACCTACCCAGACCTCCTGGCGTCGTAATTTTTTCATGACGCCCCTCTTGTAATGAATTTTCTGTGATGTCTTGATTTTTTGTTACACGTTTCAATGTCTTGATTTTGGCTCAATTGACAGCGCCTTGTCAGCCCTTGATAACCACTGAGAAGCCTTGACATCCACGGCACCCATGGATTCCCGTTGTGAACCTAATTGGCCGAGCGGATTTCGGGTGACCCGCGCAGTGGGCGGGTCACCCCCGCGCGCGGGTGACCATGGTCACCCGCGCGCGCGCGTAGGGAGTTCTGTATCGTCCACAACAGAGAAGTCGGCGCGTCCGTCGGCCTCCTATAAAGAGCCCCAGAAATTTTGAATTCAGTTTTTGGCATCACATGTCGACTTCTCCATTGTGGACAATACAGAACTCCAACGCCCGCGCGCGCGCGTAGGGAGTTCTGTATCGTCCACAACAGAGAAGTCGGCGCGTCCGTCGGCCTCCTTAAAGAGCCCCAGAAACTTTGAATTCAGTTTTTGGAATCACATGTTGACTTTTCCATTGTGGACAATACTGAACTCCAACGCGCGCGCGCGCGCGCGGGTGACCATGGTCACCAGCGCGCGCGTAGGGAGTTCTGTATCGTCCACAACAGAGAAGTCGGCGCGTCCGTCGGCCTCCTTAATGAACCCCAGAAATTTTGAATTCAGTTTTTGGGATCGCATGTAAACTTTTCCATTGTGGACAATACCGAACTCCAACGCGCGCGCGCGCACGCGCGGGTGACCATGGTCACCCGCGCGCGCGTAGGGAGTTCTGTATCGTTCACAACAGAGAAGTCGGCACGTCCGTCGGCCTCCTTAAAGAGCCCCAGAAATTTTGAATTCAGTTTTTGGGATCGCATGTGGACTTTTCCATTGTGGACAATACCGAACTCCAACGCGCGCGCGCGCGCGTAGGGAGTTCTGTATCGTCCACAACAGAGAAGTCGGCGCGTCCGTCGGCCTCCTTAATGAACCCCAGAAATTTTGAATTCAGTTTTTGGGATCGCATGTAGACTTTTCCATTGTGGACAATACCGAACTCCAACGCGCGCGAGCGCGCGCGCGCGCACGCGCGGGTGACCATGGTCACCCGTGCGCGCGTAGGGAGTTCTGTATCGTCCACAACAGAGAAGTCGGCGCGTCCGTCGGCCTCCTTAAAGAGCCCCAGAAATTTTGATTTCAGTTTTTGGGATC